AGCTTGGCCGCCATTTTAAACATGATGTTGTCTCGTTACAGCAGACGTCGTGTATACTTAATACACTTTATACGTTTAGAGTCTAAAAATAACTTGGTTTACTCTTAGAAACAGGCGCCATGACAACGGAGTTAACAATAGACAACCACGAAGCTATGTGATCTCAGAGAGACTTTGTACTTACAAAACGGTGGCGATATGGTTGGCGTACGGAAATACGAAAGACAGAGAGGGTGGGGGTGGGGGGGGGAGCATGGGTGAGTCAGTAAGTTGCCGAGTTCAAAATGAGAGATAGACACGGAGATGTTAGACAAATATGGATAATCCGTAAACATTTACAGCAGAGGAGAGAGAGAGAGAGAGAGAGAGAGAGAGAGAGAGAGAGAGAATTTTTTGTCAAAGAGAGAGAGAGAGGGGGGGTGTTCAATTACCTTCAAATGAGTTCCCTCCTAGATGTAGAGTATCCTTGCTGCAAAGTCCTCTTATCATAGAGTTAACTTAACTAATGCAGTTTAAAAGCATTATGTTAAATTGATTGATATTATCCTTCTGGGTCCACCTCAGATGTCCAGCGAATCACAGATGCGTATGTCAGGAGTTTCAGCTTAAAAAACACAATCAATTCTGACAATTAGTCAACCTTTTGCTGTAAGTTTACAAGGTATATGGATCCCCCCACCCCCACCCCCAAAACATTCCCTTCCACCAACATATTCCAAATGCAGTATTAACTAGTCTACCATTCAGTTGTTTTGAATGTTAAATCCATTTTCTTTAAAAGATAGCCAGAGTTGGGCCCGGGGGGGGGGGGTGTGATATGATTTGACTATTTATAATACATACACACAGATCAAATAAATGATATTAGATCACCTTAATCTTTTAACCCTCTAAATTAAAAATAAAATGGCTGGCATTACTTAAAATATTATAAATCAATTCCTGTTATCACGACCTGTTGGCTACTCATAATCTTATTAAAGCTTTATCCAGTAATAAAATATTAACATATAATACGGCTTATGTAAGCTCACTGTCCTAAGTTTTGTTTTATTTTTACTGTTGCAGAAAAATGTTCTGCTGCATCGGGTTTAATCTACAACATTGGGCGTGGCCAAAAAATTATAATTATAATAATTTGCAAGAAAACGAAGAACAAATAATCCATCATTGTGTCTCCGCAATCATAAAATAGGTCAGTTCCCCTTGACCTTTCAAAACTAATATTAGCGGCAATAACAGCAGCCTATATTTGCTGGTATAGCAGGCTTCCTGGTGATGTCATCAAATCAATGGGATATAATTAGCACTCGTTTGAACTCTCCACGAACAGCTGACCCCCAATGTAAACATAAAAAATAATTGATTCACCGCCAATCAAATAAAGTGTAACATTCTGATACTTGATAATAATACATACCAGTACGACTAAATTACTGCGTACACTTCTTACACATTGACTTGCTTAGGCTACAAACAAAAGTGTTATTTGTGTATATAAAAATGTTTTAACACGTTTTGTATACTTGGCAGCTACCGCTGTAAATACAAAGTTAAATACTTCACTCCACCAAACATTTCTTACAATTTTATTTATTGGATGTTCTACTCCTCTCGCCTGCTAGCAGCAGCTTGCGATGGGTAGATTCGACCAGACTTCTCTCCTCTCATTTTTTTTTTTTTTTTTTTTGGCGTCTGCTTCATACAAGGCCGCGTGAACTAATGTAGCGCAGTCACAGCGGTTTAAAAATAAGCCGATCTTCAGTCTTATCAGCAGAAAAACATGAAAAACATTTGCCTTTGGTGCTTGACTAGCTGAATCCAAAATTTAAATAAATTAAAATAGCACATTTACATACAAATGAATTACGTTTTTTTTTAAAATGTTCTTAATGTTTAGAGAATCAGAGAATGGCATTTAGGATTATATTTATTGGGCTTAACTAAAGAAATTTTTTTACACATTGACCCTCAGTGTAGTGTTATTGTTTTTTTGTTGTTTTTTTTTAAAATCCTTTATGTTAACTTGGCTTTTGTTCGTGGGTGGCTGGCTAACTGAATGGCTGGGTGGTAAAATCTTGGTACGGCTAATTGACCCACTTTCCGTCAAGCTGTCGAGATTAAACTTGGCATATAAACTCATTGCCAATGAAACACATTATATAAAAATTTTCAGCCCCACCGCCAAAAAAATCAGATTTTCCTATTTTTCAAAGGGAGGATAAAATGAAATTCCCGATAGCTGCGTTAAATGAAATTCTTAAGAAAATATCGAAAGTGTGTTTAGTATATTATAAGTTATATTATTTTTTTCCCTAGAATTGTTGATGAAATAAATCTGCGGTGTAAACACGGGTGGGTCATTAGAATTTTAATATAGGTCAGTGGTGTGGACAAATGTGCTGTTGCGAGCCTTGGGAGAAAAAATGGGGGTGGGGTGGGGGTGGCACTAACTGAGATTCTTATATAACTTATATAGTGCGTTAATTGTAGTATGCATGTTATGTCAAATTTTCATCCCCCACCCCATTGCTCTATATTAAATTTTATACGAGTAACTTTTAGGGAATGTTTAATTTATTTATTTTCTTTTTAGATGCCCATGGTTATAAATCACAGAATCTATTCGCCATATAAATCAAGTAGATCTCACTGGTGGGTGAATGGGGCTTTTAGACTGGTGGGTGAATGGGGCTTTTAGACTGGTGGGTGAATGGGGCTTTTCGACTTGTGGGTGCATGGGGCTTTTAGACTGGTGGATTAATGGGGCTTTAGACTGGTGGGTGAATGGGGCTTTTAGACTTGTGGGTGCATGGAGCTTTTAGACTGGTGGGTGAATGGGTTTTTTAGACTGGTGGGTGTATGGGGCTTTTAGACTGTTGGGTGAATGGGGCTTTTACTTTTAGACTGTTGGGTGAATGGAGCTTTTAGACTAATGGTGCATGGGGCTTTTAGATTAATGGGTGCATGGGGCTTTTAGACTGGTGGTTGCATGAAGCTTTAAAACTAATAAGTGCACGGAGCTTTTAGACTTATGGTGCATGGGGCTTTTAGACTAATGGGTGCACGGAACTTCTTCTTCTATATTTTGAGGGTCCACAATCAATGAATTGGCCCCTATGTTTCAGACTTTTAGACTAAATGTTTGCAGAGGCTTTTAGACTATGGGTGCACAGAGCTTTTAGACTATTGGGTGCACGAAGCTTTTAGACTATTGGGTGCACGAAGCTTTTAGACTATAGGTGCACGGAGCTTTTAGACTATGGGTGCACAGAGCTTTTAGACTATGGGTGCACGGAGCTTTTAGACTATTGGGTGCACGAAGCTTTTAGACTATAGGTGCACAGAGCTTTTAGACTATGTGTGCACGGAGCTTTTAGACTGGTGGTGGGATGGGACTTTTAGACTGGAAGCTTTTTTATTTAATAAAAAAACTATTTTCGTGCCCAGCGGAGCGTGGTGCAAAGAAAGGAGGGAAAGACTCTCTTATATATCATTAAGAATTCTAAACGATAGCCAAATTCCCATATATCTGTTTGATTTTTCCTGCTGATTTTTTAAAAAAAATGTATAATCGAATACATGTATTTTTCTTAAAATCTTTTTTTGAATCCAGACATTAAATAATTATTTTTATGTATAATGACGTGAAAATTCATTCTAAAAATACAGTGAAACAGCTATTCGATTCTAAACCATCCCAACGGTTCCAAGAAAAAGAAAGTCTGTGCAAAAGGATAAGGCACTCTTTGAGCCCATTTAGAGAAGAGTGCTACCAGATAAGTCTGATAAGTATACCACCAGAAAGTTTACAATAAAAGAGAAGGGTGCTACCAGATAAGTCTGATAAGTATACCATCAGAAAGTTTCTAATAAAAATAAAATGGCAGAGTGTTACCAGATTAGTCAGAGGTGGCAGACAGATGTCCATGGAGATGGTGAAACCACGAGTTCACCTCACTGGGGGACGCCACTGATCATGAAGTATTCAGTTTTAACTTTTATGTAAGCAGAGGACTGTTTATGTTGTTGTACAGACAGGAAGTCAACAATTCTGTTTAACCAATATAATATAAACATTTTAAAAATTATGATGCGGGTGTGAATATTTTTTTTCCTTAACCAATACCCAAGGGAAGTAAACAATGAAATTGTTTTAAGCCAATTAGCTGCATCAGAGTAGGTTCAACTGCATTTTCTTTAAATCGTTTTTTTTTCGAAAATTTAATTATTTCAATTCCATGACGATTTTCCAAATTAAAAAATAATGAATTGGGAGCCTTGAATACTGTCAAATAAAGACAAATTCTTTTGTTTCATGTGCCCACTTCCAAGCTCCGCCAGTTTTTATTCAATTTTAAATCCTTAAAATATATATAACATTTTTTTTTTTTTTTTAAGTGAGTGGTGCTTTTGAAAACAGGTTCATCTCAGCAAATAAATGAAAAGACAAAGGTTACCTCCACCGAGTTCTTAAATGCACAGTTATAATTTAGATACCCGGCACTGAAGATACTCTACTCAATGAGAATAGAGGTCACATTTACCAACTCACAAAGTTAGCCTCACTAGACTCTAGCTATCAATTTTTGGTGTCTTTTTCTGTTGTAAAAAAAAAGCACTCCTATATCAATGGTTTATAAGCCCTCCGTGGCAGGCTATGTAACTCTATCCTTAAAGAACCTGCGCTCTTCATCACAGTCCCTACTGGGAGTTCCCAGTGTGGATGGACACAGAAAGATGTCATAGGGAGTGCGATCTTTTGAAGCAATAGCGCCAAAGTTATTTATTTATTTAGGCATTTTTATATAGCGCTTATCATAAAGCTCTAAGCGCTTTACAATTATTAAAACATGTAAACTAAGTAAATACAAATGAGACACTAGGAGAGTAACAACTATTCTATTGAAACAATGAAAATGGCTATAAGACGAGGACACTTTGACACTTCAGGATCAACCCGAAACAGAAAATGAGGTTACAGTTTGCTTCCAACTTTGAGGGCAATTAAAAATGTTAAAAAACATCTGAGAAACATTTATTGACATTCTTCTTTAAATAGATTTTATGAGATCGGAGCGCTTTGAGCATGCTAGAACAGCACGGAGACAAGCAGCATACAAGTGACCAATCATCATCATCTAGCACCTTTAGTAGATGGGTAGTTCACCCACTGCGGCAGTCATTGCTTGGGTTGAGCATGCTAGGACAGCACGGAGACAAGCACCATACAAGTGATCAATCATCATCATCTAGCACCTTTAGTAGATGGGTAGTTCACCCACTGTGGCAGTCATTGCTTGGGTTGAGCATGCTAGGACAGCACGGAGACAAGCACCATACAAGTGATCAATCATCATCATCTAGCACCTTTAGTAGATGGGTAGTTCACCCACTGTGGCAGTCATTGCTTGGGTTGAGCATGCTAGGACAGCACGGAGACAAGCACCATACAAGTGATCAATCATCATCATCTAGCACCTTTAGTAGATGGGTAGTTCACCCACTGTGGCAGTCATTGCTTGGGGGGCTTTAGCTACTTTTACACACACACATAAAAAGATGCAGTGCCACGCTTTAAAAAAAAGTATGTCATTTATTCATGTCAAATCAAAAAATGTCATTGGGATCTAACAAAATCAGATGCAACCACTGCCATATCAGAACTGAACATTAAAACTGAAATAAAAACCCATCAGTAGCAGCCATACCAGTTAGGTTCCATATTTTTTAAAAATTCTGGTCTCCACGGTATTAAATAGGATGCCAATAGTATTCTCCTTATTACTCATTTCATTTAGACACTCGTCTCACTAATAAGAATTTTGAAAGCTCATTGATTTTTTAGAGCATTTTTTAATTTATTTATAAACATTCAAAATATTCTCTCTTTCAGTTCACTCTATCTGTATATAGCAATATGCATATACTTAAAATTGGTGTATTCTCTAACAGTGTCAATCACTATGTTGTCCTCATTTGAATCCTCATTGGTTCTTGGGTGGCGATGCAAACTTTGCTAGACAATAGGCGGACCAAAGCACACCAACGGTGACAAGAGCCACAACCGTGGCATAGGTCGCTTTGTCGGTAGACAGTTTCTGCCACACAAGCAGGCCGTCATCTCTCTAAAGGTAAAATAAAAATGAAGTTAAAAATAGCATCCCTAATAAAAAACAAAAAGAACATGAAATCACATTTTGAGCACAGGTATTTACATTTAATCATATTTTTTAAATTGTAATTGTTTTTTTAAAATATTAACCCCCCCAATACAAGTTGATATGCTTTGAACTTTTCAAAAGATTAACACTATGTTCATGGTTAACATTCATCACTAAGAAAAGAAAACATAATATTTGAATCCTTTCATTTTTTTACTTTTTGTATATACTCAGAAATATTTTAAATATTTATAGTTTAAAGTCAAAAGAATTTTTGTTTTTAAAGTCTTTAAAAGTCTCTATTTATAATTGTGGTAAATCATGAGTAGTAGTAGCTTTTCCCTGTGAGATAGATTCTATTTTTGTACTTACTAACTCACAGTAATGAACTCTTCCAGTCATTACTTAATTAACAAAACATATACCAAATAAAGATGTAGAGCGCACTCAATATTTATTCCAAAAAAATCTTGCTTTATTTTTTTTTTAAATAATGTTTCGGTCAGTGACTGGTTGATTTTCTATATATAACTTACAGTGAAGATGGCTTGTTTTTCCATCAATTTCTTGTACCTTGGAGTGTTGGGCACCAAGTATTTCCCCTGGCCAGCTTTAGCCAAAGGCTGAGCAAGGGATGAAAGCTGTCTTAAAAATACACGATTCATCTTTTAAAAAAAAAAAAAAAAATCAAAGTTAGATTAGAATTATATAGCATTAAAATCTGATATCAGTTTCACTGCGGCAGCCGTTTTTTCCATCAATTTCTTGTACCTTGGAGGGTTGGGCACCAAGTATTTCCCCTGGCCAGGTTTAGCCAAAGGATGAGCAAGGGATGAAAGCTGTCTTAAAAATACACGATTCATCTTTTAAAAAAAAAAAAAAAAATCAAAGTTAGATTAGAATTATATAGCATTAAAATCTGATATCAGTTTCACTGCGGCAGCCGAGCAGAACATGTTTTGTTCCATATTTAACCTGTTAATTAAATAGTTTTCTTTACCATTCAACAAAATAGATAAACCTACTTTTAAAAAGACAATTACAATTTTTTTTTTTAAAAATAAGTATGCCCCATTATTCACTTTTCTGTGCTGAACATTTTTCTGTGCTTTTTAATGTCTTTTTACTAACTGATGGCCAAGTACGGATCATTTCATGGATTATGGGTCTTGGGGAATATGTTCAAATTTTGGGTTAACGGTCGACTTTTGACTTTCACGACTTTTGACTTCCACGTATACTTTGCATTTGAAATTTTACCAATGCATGATTTTGTAATAAGACATGTACAATTTTTTTTCTTCCTTTCATTAATTTTTTTTTTTTTTTTTGTGTGCCCAGAGTCAAAGTAGCTTTCATTCAATTTTACAATATAATTTTTTTTAATCCTTTGAAAAATGGGGATGTATTTGATAAAAAAGTTCAAGTCGCCAACTCCTATTTATATTTTTAAAATAATATTATCTAGTAGTAGTAGAAATAGAAGCAACTTTTCATCATATAAAATAAAAAATTTATCGAATCGGTAGGCTTATTTTAATTTAAATTTTTTAAAAATCAATTCAATTTTATTATTAATGTATTGAAATTCAATATGAACTACGCAGGGTGAAGTTGGGAAAGTAGTGCAACTACCAACAAGACAAAATGAAGTTTGTGTTCCTAAGACATTATTCATATTATTAATACTTCTTACCTTATGCATAAAGAATAATATATTTACAATAGCATTATTGGCTCATCAAGAATATAAATAAAGTTAAAAAAAATAGTGGCAATAATGTAATGATATATATGGCTTTGAAGTTTACTTTGTTTCTTACTTTGAGGCAGTTTTCAGTAGCACCTGGCCTCATTAGAATTTCTAAATTTTCATCAAACCATTACATTTTCTGGAATTAATGTTAGTCTGTAAGTAGAATCCAGTTTCACTTACACAGGTGCTACCAAAGATGCAGTTCATTTTTTGTTACAACAGTTCCATAGTAGTGGAAATTCATCAGATCAAACATATGTCATCCAGAATTCATTTGACCATGCATTCTTAGATTTTTTTATTGAAACAATATTTTCAAGAATCTGTCTCTCATAATTGCTAGCTGACTGAATTGCATCAACTATAACAAAACACAACTTGTATCATGCTTTCTACTTATTGAACGTCTCATCCTCTGATATTTGAATACCAGGTATTTGTCCCTAATGTTACAACATTACAGAATGGACACACACTCTCACCATACCTTGCTAGACTACTTGTTCAAATATCATGGCACCCTAAATTGTCACTCGCCCACTGTAGTCATTTGTGACAACTTTAGTACCCCAACTCCCATCTCAATTACTCTGACACCAAGACTTTCCTGTCATATTATTATTATAATAATTTTTTTTTAAAAAGGGCAGTTTGTGGGGGCATCCACATTTTAGGGTGACCAAATAGTTGCACTTACACTTCAAGTTACTTTTGGTTTACCTATTCATCTTTTCAATGCTTTCATTAAAAATTACGACCTATACCCACTCCTCTGTACAAGGCATAGAAAAAGGAGAAGACAGCATCAAATTTCATGCCTCCTCATGTTCCAGATGGGCTGCTCTGCTGATGTGCTTCACATAAATGACTGCCCCACTCCTTAGATTTTCTGACCACCCTTCTCCTGTGTTCTCACACCATTTCCCAACAAAAAATTCGGCTGGCAGGTCTAGTGTGTGGCACAAGAGGCTGGATTATTTGTTTAGAACCGTGCACAGTGTGTGGCACAAGAGGCTGGATTATTTGGTTGGAACCGTGCACAGTGTGTGGCACAAGAGGCTTAATGACACTAAATTACAGACATTTTTAACATTATTCTTTTATACCATTATAATTATTTTATTTTTAGACTACTTTCACTGAGAGAATCAGTACAGACAGGGCCGGCGCTAGGGGATGGCGAAGTGGGCGACCGCACGTTGCCGTAGTATATTTATAATATACCTCAGCCTGCTAATAGTTCCTAATCCAGTCAACACAATATTCAGAGTTATTAGATAGTCAAATGGTCTGAAGGTCAGTCTGGCTACCGTTATGACGCGTCCCATTACCCATTATGACCAGCAAGGCCCCAGTACGACTATAACATGTCTTAATATCGTATCTGCGGAATATATAACGTCAATGGCCCCGCAAAATTCAATTTGCTCAAGGCCCCGCACCCTCCTAGCGCCGGCTCCAAGTACAGGTATGTGCAGTCAGAAGAATGGCCTCTGATCAAGTTACGGAACGCCAAGGAGGAGGGGAATCGGAATGTAGTTACAATGACAGTCGTGAGAATTTATGGCTAAATGTGGACACAGGAAGTGGGATGGAGCGGAAAAAAAGGTTGATCGCGGGGTGGGGGTTATCTTAGTAAATGCTCTAGGGCAGTGATTCTTAACCCTTTTTGCAGCGTTGCAGGCCCACTCCGTTTTTAACATCCCTCCCCCAAACGTATAAATTATAATGTAATAAAATTTAAAATAATTAAATAATTTAGCTATCGTAGTTTTATTTCTTTAATTAACTATTTATAAACGGGAAAAAATTACCAATGCACGCAATGCGCCAATGAAATTCAGCATTGACTGCTGCTCATCAAAATCCATAAAAACTTGCTTATTTTTTTTTTCATTTATTTTTTTAAAAACAGCAGCAGGTAGCAATGGCACCAAATACAATCAGTGGCATAGCTAGGGTTAGTGTCACCTGGTCCGTTAAGCTGTGGTGTCACCCACCCACCACCTTTTCCCTATGAATTTCTTCTTGTTTAACTTAGTCCACAGTATAAGAAATACAAGAACAAATTAAATGAAGCTAAGGAGGTAAATGTATTTCCGAACTGTAACTTGTACTTAGAATCGCCAATTGTTATCAAATGATAGTTGTATTTCTTAGAATTTAGATAAAAATAGCTTCCTGAAACTTACAAATCGAACACTTCATTCGGCGTTGAAACATGGTCAAAACGGTGTGTTTCTGAACTAATAATATGGTAATCTAATTGCCTTGGCATCAACCTTGAAATTTTAATATTAACGAAACACGCATTTTGATTGGTGACACGGGTGGAAAATGTCCGTGTCATCTGTTATCCTTTTATGAATTTTGGTTAGACCCAACAGTGTGTGCACTGTAATTACGTTATTTTCAATTTGGTGTCACACCCTGAGATGGTGTCGACCTGTGCGGTCAGCACCCCCTAGCTACGCCACTGCATACACATTTTTGATCTTCCACAACTCAAGGCTGGCGAGGTACTTGTACCCCTGGTTAAGAATCACTGACCTAGTGAAATATTTCTGACACTGGTGCAGTAATTTGATATCCATGGGAGGTGAATTTCTTAAGGGTTTGTAAAGGACAGTAGTGGACACAGGGACTTTTTAAAGGAGGGGGGGGCAGAGATTTGTGATGTTATATCTGGGAAGGGGTCACTGACCTAGTGAAATATTTCTGACACTGGTGCAGTAATTTGATATCCATGGGAGGTGAATTTCTTAAGGGTTTGTAAAGGACAGTAGTGGACACAGGGACTTTTTAAAGGAGGGGGGGGGCAGAGATTTGTGATGTTATATCTGGGAAGGGGGGGGGGTCTAACTTTTTGTGACTATTTGTGACGATGGGGGAGGGGGGTCACAAATCGGCAAAATTTGCGTGACATCATTTATGGATAGCCCCTTAACCCGGAAGTTGATTTAATTATTAATAAAAAGGAAGTGGCTATGATTCTGGCTATATATTGGTTGGAAGTTGCTTTTGGACCGTGTTTTTTTATCGGCCGATTTTTTGACCGCCACAGTACAGAACGAGAATATCTGCCGGTTAAATATTGTCGTCTTGTCATAAATGATACATCATTTTAAAGGGCTAGCTATAAAATAAGCTTTGCAAAAACATCAAATTAATATTTGTTTTTTTATAAAAGTGAAGTTATGATTATCTTTTTGTGAATTTTTAATACCCTCTCCTTTATCTTTGTACTTTCACATTTTACCTATGAGTACTGATACTTTTAGACTAAAATCATAAATTTAACGAGTCAAATACTCTCGTCACGCCCGATTTTTAGGGTGAAATGGTTGAGAATTAAGTAATTGACTTAAGTTTAAGGTCTTAAATGGATAGTAGTCAACTAAGCCAAGAAAGGGGCATAATTCAGATTTTCACGCTCAAGACTTTTTGCCGTCTTGTCCTTGTCAATTCACACTCATCACTGGATTTACCCTTGTCGGCCTTGTTTGAATTGATTGATTGGTCACAATTAGTGACAGACTGACTGAGACTTACACTTAACACACCCATTTATAAAAATAAATATATTAAGTCCTTTCTTGTCACAAGATATGAATAAAATAAATATTGTATTTTGATTTAACTCTCTTCCACAAGTATAAATGTCAGTAAATTATAAATTAAACTTGTCTGGCTTTAACTTGCCTTCTCTTTTAATTGTATACTTTCGATTCGCCTATTTGCCCTTGGTGGTGTTTGTAACGGAGGGCTGATAATTTATCCATTGAAATATTCACATACATCAGGGAGTTAATGTGACTCTTTATATTGTCAAATGAAGCTAATCATTAATTTATCATATTTATTTAAATACAAATTTTTCATTTTCAATAGTTATTAATGTAAAAATCTTCAAGTATTCAAAATTATGTATCCCCACAATTAACGAATTTCAATATTATTCAATTCATTATACCTGCTTAGCTGGCACACATTTATGTCAAATCCTTACATAGCATCTGTGTTTTATAATAGTCCTCTTACTATGCTCACGTAAATGTTGGAACTTAACGCTAAAATATGTCAAATATTTGAACATGGTGAACAAAACTAAAAATAAATATTTGTTAAAATAATTGTTTGTATATAGCTGCATTCGTATTAAATTCAAAGTAAAATGTAAACTATATAAAATTTTAAACCTTGCACTTGTAAAATTCTAGTTAGCCCTATAACTACTTCTATGTCACGTCGAGTTACTGTCATTAATATTGTCTGTCACATATCTTTCTATTTACTCTTTGTTTTTTGAGTACTAACTTCAGTTTTTCGTTCAAACACAATCTAATTTGTTTATTTGATACAATAAATGTCCAGTACACGCCCCTATTAGAAACACCATTTCCCAACACGCTTCCACCTCTACCTCCACACCCTACCCCCAAATTTTACCATACATTGAATACATCAATACTGTCTGACCTTTTAACTCCATGGGCAATTCCACCCCCACCCCCGTGAAATAATTTATGAAACCGAGGCCACGCAAGAAAAACAAAAGCAATATTAATGTACTTTAAAAAAATATTATTAACTTTGTTAATATGTCCATAAACTGAAAATGAAATGTCGGTTTGCCTTATAATTATAAGAGCCAAAAAAAAATAAAAAAAATAATAATGTAAAAAAAAAAAAATTATATTTTATAAATAAAGCAAATAAACTTTCTAGCTAATATTTATTGATATAATTATCTTAAAATGGTTTTGCAACTAATTTAATTTGTGGAATTGCTATTAGTATTCAGGAACCACTGCCCTGATGAAATTTCCTAACTGAACTATCAATATACTTTATACTTGGTGTTGGCTATTACCACTTCAGGGTTATGGGTGAATCGTCTGCATCTTTTAACATTTCAGTCTATGTAGAAATTCATCAGCCATCCAAAGTGCAATCAACTGGCGACATTTTCTTGTGTTTGACACAAAGTACCATATTATCTAGATCGCAGGTTCCCAACTTTTTTTTTTTTTTTTTTAAATTTGGACCCCATTTTATAGTATAGAAGCAAAGTGACCAACGACCCCGATTACCATATCTAAAATAGATATTCTAAAATATAATTTAAATTTGAGTTTCAATACAGTAAGTGAAAGTATTCAGCATTTATAAAGAAATCGTAACTGGCGACATTTTCTTGTGTTTGACACAAAGTACCATATTATCTAGATCGCAGGTTCCCAACTTTTTTTTTTTTTTTTTAAATTTGGACCCCATTTTATAGTATAGAAGCAAAGTGACCAACGACCCCGATTACCATATCTAAAATAGATATTCTAAAATATAATTTAAATCTGAGTTTCAATACAGTTAATGAAAGTATTCAGCATTTATCAAGACATCGATAATATTAATAATAAATAAAACTTATTTCAATTTATTTTAAGGTCACTTTTTTTTGGTCGATGAACCCACAAAACCCATCCGTGACCACATTTAGGTGTTCGTTACTGCACGTTATTAGTGGCAACTTTTAACCTCTCTTGCACTAACAAAGTGTGCTAATATTCTGACCAGCCATCTGCAGTGCACATTAAATAAATCTTATATTGGGAAGCCTAATAAATTATATGGCTATTTACACTCATTATTTTTTTTTTAAATAACGTAATAACCAGTCAATTTTAATATTAAAATATTACTAGAGAAAACATGATTGTTGAGGTCAATTAATCTACCCCCCACCATCTAACCCCCTTCCCTTGTCAACAACTGACAAACATTTACACAACCCCCCACCCCCCACCCCACTTTTTTTTGTTGACATAATTAATGGACGCCCCCACTACTGGTTAGTTTTGTTACAATCAATCCGTATTAATAATTAATACATAGAGGTGTTGAAGAAGAAAAACTGATCCAATTTTTTTATTGGCTGTCTCCTTGGACACTAAGTGGCGACAAAATGGGGGACGAGGAACATCATGTCTTTCCCTGATTGAAAGTTTCCAGCGTTTTTAATCTTCGATTATCATCAAATAGCACAAGAGGCATTACAGTTGCATTTTCCAAAATAATTGTAATGTTGCAGCTACTCAACGCTACAAGAAATAAATTTAAAATTTAGGCATATGATCATTTAGCCTCATTTTTAGGTCTTACTTCGAAGTCACAGTAGTGTAGGCGTAGGCTTAGACTTAGGCCACGTCTTAGTAAAGTATTAAAGTTAAAGTGAGAGTATACTTTAATAACGCAAAATATATAGTAGGCTCTGTAATTTAGCTAGTCTTTATTTGAGATTTGCTATGCATAAGAAGATTAATGTTTCAGGCCCACTAAAATTAAAAAGATAACAACTTTTCAAAGATGTTACTGAACTTTCTTATACTTATAAGTTATAGTTATAGCTTCAATGAGTGTAACTTACTTACTGTAACTGTGGCTAATTCCACAATTAGTAAATAAAATATTGTCACTAAATGACCAAAACCCATGAATAAAATCTACTGATCAGGCAGATGTATTTCAATGAAAGCATCTTTTACTTTTTTAACAAGTGTGTTGCGACATGTCAGATTCATAAATACATTTTGAACTATTGAACATCTCAAAAATATCAATTAAACCATGCCTGTTGCACAAGCTCGTCTGCAAATCTTGCAAGTATGCAAGTTATTGCAATGTGTCCGGGAAAAAGATAAGGAACAAATAGAGAAATTAATATTAAAAGGTACTCCACATCTCATCAACTACAATGCTTCTGAGCAAGGATTGACAGCACTTATTGTGGCTGCCAAAGCCAATGATGAGGATATGGTTAATTTTCTATTGGGGCTGGGTGCCCACCCTGATGTAATGGACTTGAAAGGCAAAACAGCAGCTATGTGGGCAGCAGAGTTTGGCAATGTTGAATGTCTTGAAAAACTATTACATGCTGGTGCTGACATGTCCCTCAAAGATATTGAAGGCAAAAGTGAGTAATTTAATATACCTAAAAGTTTCTTTTATTTCATAGGCTAAATTTACATAACAGAAATTTTCTAAAATTTTGGTGGCTATTTTGACATGAGCGATGGTTAAACAACAACCACATTTAGTGTCATGTATCATACAGATTTTTTAAATACTATACTATATTATTTAATTTAAAAAATTTAATTATTTTTGAAACATTATGTTAAATGTTACTAATTATTTGCAGTAATTGCACTAATTATTGACTAATTCACTAATACTCTATCACAAATATGTTTAAAGATTTTTATATAAGTCAAGTGACTAAAATTGGAAGTAAAAAATTTTAATAAACAATTACCTAAAAAATTAGATGAAAATATTATTATTTATATAATCCATACTTTTAAACTACCACTTTGTTTTGTTTTATTTTGATCGACACTGCTTTTTCTTCTTCATTAGGTATTATCTTTTATTTGCTAACACCAACTGAGAGGCATAGCAAGTGTCTTGAGCTTGCTCTTTCACATGGAGCTGACGTAAATGTTGTTGACATGGAGGGTAACCCTGTTTTTGTTGAGGCCTGCAATCTAGCAGTTGACAATGAGAAGCTGTGTATGACTCTCCTCAGCCATGGGGCTGATGCTAATAGCACGGCACTGGTATCTATTAATAATCATACTACTCATTTTTGGTGCCTTATTTTTTTTAATTTAAAAAGGGATATCATTCTTAATTATATATATTTCACTTATGCCAAGCAATGTTTAACCCTAACTGATTTAGAATTATTTTGGGTTTTTAAATTAATTGTTAATTTTGTAAGTCACCTAAAAAGCACCCAGCTATAAAAAAATTGAACACTGCTACATTTATCCTTTCATTTGACCACAGCAGCACAAATTATGATCTTGTGGAAAATATCAATACTTTGATGTGGCATATTATCTGTTTCAGCTAAAAATAATGAAATTTTTTTTTTTTTTACTCTGGCATATCAGTGTAAAATCCCCAAAAATTAAACAAATTATTGTGCTAGCTCCTCTTTAATTTGCACATCATCATCTTCGCTTATATTTAATATCCTTATTTTACACCTTATGAAAATCTACCTAGTTCCTTAATCATTGTGAGTCAATAAGTTAAATTTCCATGATAAACCCAACTTTCTCAGACCTCTGTTCTAAAAAATATTGGTAACACTTGCCTTTCAGCGACTTTGGAATTTTAAAAAAGTGCCAAAGTATATTTATAAACTGTTAAAATATAAATGCTCTAAAGATATTAAATTAAAAAATGACAATGTATATTCATTTTTGCTCGGAGAAAGAGTTGTCATTTAAAATTAAGAATTTTGTATTTAGATGAAATTTGGATAGTTATAAATTACATTACTATGTACATTTGAAGCCTCTAATATGAAGCCAACCTGTTGAATACCTTATTTCTTTGCTGTAGAAAATATATTTATTATTATTCAAGTTTCCATTTTCTAAATCTTTATTTATTAAATTACTAGCCAATATACCCAGCGTTGCACGGGATTGCATTAGGACCCTGGTACTGGTGGGACCCAGATCCCATTGGGACCCCAATCCCATGCTGACAGATCCCGGCGCAGTACTATTTCCCGGTGTAATCCCGATCCCAGTGGATACATTCAAGGTTAGGATCCCGATCGCAGTGGGATCCTTTTTTCTTGTGGGATCCTGATCCCGTTTGGATAAAGATTATGATGGGATCCCGACCCCTTTGGCATCCCGCATCAAAAAATTCTTCAGTGGCACTGAGAGAACAGTTAACTCCGGGACAGTATAGAAATAAATAGAAAACTAACTAAAATTTCATTATCCCTTAGATCCCTCTATATATATCCCCGTGGAACAATTAAGACCGTTCTGGAACATTCTAGATTAAATTTAATAACCTGCTCGAACATGTGTAAAACTACGTTTCTAATTTTTTTTTGAATATGATAAAAATCTTCAACAAATACCATAATTATAATCCTTTTTCTTTTAAGTTAATCATGGAGCCCCGGCGGGCCCATTCCACAACTGTACCAATTTAGCTTTGCCTGAGATAGGGGCCCCCTATAAATATCAGATGGATAAATAATAAAGTTAAAATTTTAAAATTGTGCCATTAAAATCTATTTAAAAACTCCATAGATATAGCTTTTTACAGTTATCGAACTTTCTGGAAAATTCTAGATTGGATATTATTAGTTTTAAATCCACCGATATTTCAATATGGACTAAGAAGCCATAAATTCCCATAGAACCTATACTGTTGTCTAACCCTATTGATATTCATATAGCTTACATAGGGTAAAATGAACTGGGGCCCCCCGGCCCAGAGAAATGGATATTATGAGTTCACTACCCTTTGGTATTTGAATAAGGATGATCATGTGTATGTGTAATAAGTTTTGTCAAGATCCATCCATTCATGTAAGAGTATTAAGCCTATTGATATATTATTAATATAGCTTATATAAGGAAAAATGAAATGGGGTCCCTGGCCCCAAAATAATGGATATTATTATTGCAGTACCCTTTGGTATTTGAATATGGATAATAAAGTATATGTGTACTAAGTTTGGTAAAGATCCATCCATTCATGTTGGAGTACTAAGCTTATTAATATTTATAAAGGTTTTATAAGAAAAATTGAAATGGGGCCCCTGGCCCCAGAGGGATGGATATTTTGAGATCAGGACCCTTCGGTTTTTAAGTATGGATAATAAAGTATATGTATAGTAAGTTTGGTCAAGATCCATTTACTCATGTAGGAGTATTTGTTGTTATTTTATTTATATAGCTCATATAAGGAAAAAAACGAATTCGGGCTCCCGACCCCAAACAGAATGTTATAAAAACACATAACCTCTTAAGAGTTCCTTCTGGATCATGATGGATATATGTGCCAAGTTTGGTCAAGATCCATCAATCCATGTAAAAGTCTTTGTGGAACAAACAGACAAATAAACCCACAAACTTTCACTTTTATATATATATATGATAAGTAAACTTGTCTTTCCTTTTTATTTTCATAGAAATCTGGTCGCACTCCACTCATGGCAGCATCATCAAGTGGTGGTATCAAAGTGGTGTCTGCTTTATTGGCTGCCGGGGCTAATCCTAATACCATAGATGCAAAGAAAAATTGTGCTGCTCATTTTGCAGCCATGAACGGCCACCTCAAAGCCCTTCAGTTAATGGCTGGGTATGGAGCAGAATTCAACAAAGTTGCCAATGATGGTGGTAATCCAATCCACTATGCTGCAAAGACTGGAGAAGCTATGTGTATTAAGTTTTTATCGCAGCGAGGTAAAATATTTTATTGCTAAAATAGTTTGTCCTAATTATGGTTTACATTTTAAATTTTTTCTTTAAAGAATGATGTTACGAAAAGCAGGTATGTTAATTTTTACTTTTTAGCATTTAAAAATGTCTGATAAAAATTCATTTTAGCCCAGAGGACATAAATGCAAATGTTTTAGTAAATTGAAGCAGAGACTTTTCATAATTAAAAATTTAATAGAGTAGACATGACTTATCATTCAAATAAAATTATCTAGCACTAGTATTTGCTCAGACTTATTTTTAAATAATCAATTATTTTATTTAGGAGAAAAATAATTTTACCTCATGTTAAAAAAACAAACAAATTTAACAGAATTAAGTTTTGGCTATATTTCAGCATTTGTATATTAATCAAATTTTTATTTCTTTATTTTAATAAAACATGCAATGAAATTACAATCTCTGATTTAAAACATCCCAATTAATATGTAAATACATCTCTTTCAGGGTGTAATCCAAAGATAAAGAACAACCATGGTCAACTGCCAAAAGTCATAGCCAAAGAAGCTGGCAACAAGGCAGCTGGGACAGAGCTCAGAAAAGCAGAAAAGGCTTATGGTAAAGGAGGCAAAAATAATGACCCATGGGTTCTTCAACTTTATGATTGGGTACAAGCCCGCAAGGCCGTCCTTCTCCCTGCATTCACAGCCATTGATGTTGAAGAACTGGGCAAGATTCCCACCAATGATTTCTGTGATGTCCTGACAAGCAAAGGCTGTACCACAGATGAGGAATCTTTAAAAATGGTACTTACATTGCAAGACAAAAACAAAGAAGGTAGAATAGACTATAACGATTTCTTCCTGGCTAAAAAGTGGGTCAATAAAAATTTTGTCAATGAGGCCTTTGAAGGAAAGAAGAAAAAGAAGAAATCAAAGAAGAAAGGTGGGAAAAAGGGCAAGTTCAAACTTATTATGCCAATTTGCATCCAAGATGAGGGTCCACGGCAGTTTGGAGGAGTGCCGCCACTAGTTTACATACCGCAGCACATCCACTACACAGACACCGGCAGATTTGATCGGGACAAGCCACCAAAACATCCATTACAAGACGACTCAGGTGATATAAGTAAACCAATGTTAAATTTATCCACACAATTAATAAATAATTTTAATCATGTTAAAAGTCTCTTCTGCTTGATGTTGATTTTAATGTTTTGTTAAAAGCGAAATAGAAAGTAAAAATACTTAATATTTATATTCTTAAAACATTATGCTGTGCATTCTGGTACTGGAGATGTAATAATAACTTTTTTGACTGGAAAATATTTTAATTTTTTTTATGAAGTTTTATAGCTTCTCAGAGAAGTTAGGAAACCTGCTTAAATATATAGTTATTTAATTAATCAATAAGTGCAACTTGTTTTTAATTCATTTTGTTTTCTTAAAAAGCGACTTAAATTTTGTTAAATCCTTTAGCAGTTTCCTTTTAGAATACAAACTTGAAACTAATAATTTTTTTTAAATTTAATTTTTTTTTTTCGCAACTTTCCCCTCAGCATGGTACATTGAGGCTCCACCCAAAACATACATTAACATCTGTGAGGCTGCTAAGAATGGAGACATCCCATCAATTAGGGATGCGTTGAAGCGAGGGACTCCAGTGGATACACGTGATAAATTCTACAAGACAGCCCTGATGGTTGCATGTGAAGTTGCTGACATTGTAATGGTTCGATTCCTAATTGAAAATGGGTAGGTTGTATTGTTTTTAGATATTTTATTTTGCATTAATTGTTGAAGTACTTTAATAATATATGAACTGCTTGACTGGGCTTTGGTGGAGATTGGTTCAGTTTAGACTATTTGACCACCCAGCACCCATATACAAATATATTATTTAATATTTACTGATCATGATTTATTTTGCAGGGCTAATGTGAACGCAAGAGATAACTTTAAATGGTCGCCTCTTCATCACGCATGTCACATGGGCCAGTTGGATATAGTTCAGCTCCTGGTGGAAAATGGAGCTGAAATCGATGCCGCCTCCATCAACGGAGGCACACCATTGACCCGGGCCATAGAGAGTTCCAAGGATACCGTTGTGCAGTATCTCATTGATCGAGGATGCAAGATGCAGACAGAAAATAAGAGAGGCAACTACAACCAGTTTCTTCACTTTATTTTCCTTCTGCTTTCTTAGCAATTCCCAATCCTTCTGCTTCCAAAGAGCTCACAACTGAGATATGCATTATTCTGCCCTATAAAACCATTTCAATAATGTGTTCAGAGCATTCCTAAGATAGTCAAAGAGCATTCCTAAGATTAGTCAAAGAGCATTCCTAAGATAGTCAAAGAGGATTCCTAAGATAGTCACAGAGCATTCCTAAGATTAGTCAAAGAGCATTAATAAGATAGTCACAGATCATTCCTAAGATAGTCAAAGAGCATTCTAAGATAGTCAAAGAGCATTCCTAAGATAGTCAAAGAGCATTCCTAAGATTAGTCAAAGAGCATTCGTAAGATAGTCACAGAGCATTCCTAAGATAGTCACAGATCATTCCTAAGATAGTCACATGACAAGCATAAAAGGGTTATAGAACAAACATAAAATAGTCATAGAATATTCCTTGCTCTACTAATTATTTTAATAAATGAACCATTGGCCCTCAGGTTTGACCCCCATGGACCTGGCCTACGCCTGGGCCGACCCCCGTGTCTTTGAGATTGTTAAGACTAAGTGGGACACACTTAAGCCAAAAGATGACAAGAAGGGCAAGGCGAAACCCAAGAAAAAGGAAAAGAAAGTTGGATCTGGCACCCAAGACCAATTCAAAACAGAGCAGGTGAGAGGGGAAAAAGGGGGGTGGGGGGAACTGATATCAAATTCAGGAAATGGGAAATAAGAAGCACATGATAGGAGGATACTCATAAGAACACTTTACACAAGTCTTCATCATAAGACAACCAAATAACTCTTATAAAGGAAACATTAAATTAAAAAAAAAAATATATATCCTATATAGCTGGAAGCTGAGTGAAAACGTGTGTGTCAAGAAACGTGTGTGTCAGGAAATGTGAGTGTGTTATATCATATCTTGCCACAGGCTTTCACTTTGATTCTCATAACCCATTTTTTTTAACACAGGTCAAAATGCCAGATGAAGACTCTCTGCCCCAACCACGTAAAGGTTCTATACTGAGGGCAGCCTCTGCTCTTGCCGGTGGGTTCGAAGAGCAGGAGGACATCCGTTACTTCCCCAAGAAGGTCTGGACAACACAGAAGACCACCGCTGAGCTTCTCAGAGACAAGGAGATTAAGCGAGAAAGATTCGGCTGGGAGGTGGACTTCCCAGAGTATGAGATGCCCTTCCAGAAAAACATTAGTGAAAAACTTAAAGAGATGGAGGAGGAAGATCATTGATAAAAATAAGACCGTTTTACTTTTAGGTTTCTGTTTTTTGGTGACCGAGTTGTCTCATACTTGTTCACAAGTGTGTGTGAGACCGGAAAGTTCCTTAGGGATGGGTACAAATAAGTCCTCTCATCAACTTGTCAAGTTACAAAGATGTCTACTCATTTTATTGTGGGTGTAAAGATTTGTACTCATTTTAATGTGGGTGAACTTTATCAACAGTGAGTCAATGAGAATGTTTGAATATTTCTCCAAGTGATGAATTTAAAGCTAAATATGGCTTAACTGTATCTGGTCTAACTGTATCCAGTCTAACTGTATCCGGTCTAACTGTATAAAAGCACAGTTTAGGTATCAGCAAGAAAAATTCTAGGCAATTCAAAGATCAAGTTGCTACAAATAAAGGGAACAAAATATTATCAAACTCCATAAAATTGATCCAACAGACTGAATATATAAAGAAAACTTTTAAAATCTTAGAATTCTGGATCACTTGTGGACAGTGGCTTCTCATATATTTTTCATTGAATTCTCTGTTATGAGGAAAAAGGTTTCTTTTACATTTTTTTAGACTAAATTCACTTTAGCCTTCAATGAGTTTTACAGTGTTGATTGTAATGCTAATTATTGATTCTCTATTTTTTGTCATCATTTGATGTGATTGTGCCTCAGAGACTTTGCCAGCAGGACAACTATTTCATTTTATTTATTAATTCTAATGTGTTAAAACATTGAGTCTATAACAACCAGCCTTTAATAAGCCTGTCTGTTTCATTATATTTGCACTGTGCAATTTCAGACAATATATGAATGGTCTCGAGAGATGATGTGATGAAGAAATGAAGTGAATAAGAATCTATTTAATTGTTTCTTATATTGTCTTGTTTGGTAATATTTAATTTTTTTATCCAAATGTATTTGTTATCAGCTAAATAGCATTGTTTTTCTATTGCCAAACTCCTGCAAAAAATGACATGCAATATAAAGCCTTTACATAGATATATACTTTTACCATATCTTTTTTAAGTGAGCTTACAGCATCAGTTTGAATACTTGTTTCTTTTATAACCAAACAAATAATTTTTGATGAACTTATCTGCCAATGTAAATCATCCTTTGTGCCACTAAAAATAAAAAAATAATTTTTACCTTTTTTACTGAGACATCTGTTGTTTGTTGGACTTTTAAAATGTCAAAATGTTTTTTATTTTTTTATTTTTCCCTTGTTGCCTTGTTAAAAAAAATATATAAAGTTGTACTTTTACCATACAGCTAGGCTTGCAAAAGTACTCCAGACATAATGATGTTAAGAAAAGATTTGACCCCCCCCCACCCCCCCCTCTTAAATACAGACTGACATTCTTATATAAAGTGATCATAGGACTGGTGCCGGCCATCCCATTTTATCTTAAAAATAATCCATTTTTTAAAATATTACATTAAATAGCAAAATGAATTCAGAGCTAAACTGTATTTTTCAAATATGCATTCTCCTTACATATACAAAGAAAAACATTATTAATGATTTTACAAAATAAAAATTTTTAAGTTTTACAATGCTCTTTTATTTATTTACAATACAAAGAAAAATGTGAGGATTGTAAAACAAAGTTTCAAATTCTGAAGGTAAAAAAAGTTTTATAAAAAGTGTCGACTCGTGTGAAGTTCTAATGTATTAGTGAGCGGCTGAAATTTGGTTGTGTTTACAAAAGTAAATTATAATCCATCTAAATCTAATCAAGGGATTTGATATCAAGCAACTTGCTGTGATTTATTAATTTTTCAACAGCATAGAAAAAGAGTCTAACTCATAGCACTGTTTTACAGTCAGAGTACAGACTTCACATTGTGGCAATACTTCATGGTTTGTCAGCCTGAAGGTGTGATTCAGGCTGTGTAACTTCCCTTTTTCAATTGTATTCATGATAAATTTACATTATGTTTGAGTCATTATCAAACAAATCCAACTTTTGAACAAGGGCATTTTTCAGTTAACAATAAAGAGGCCAACATTGTTGAGAATTACAAAATAAATTTCTAAAAATAAGCTTTATTTCAACTAAGGCCTGTAGTACTGGCATGTCAGTTCTGATTGAATTAAAGTGGGTGTGTGTTTTAATATAAGCCGAAGGAACTAAAAACTTGCAGTTAAGAACTAAAACTGAAAAGAAAACATAAATAATGTATCAAGTATCATAATTATCACAGATTATCATGGTTTCCACTATTTCACATAATTTAATGAACAGCGAATGTTAATGAAACAATTTTTTTAAATACATTATTTTTGGTAATAAAAATGAACAATAACTTTTTTTCCCCAAACCCTGTCAAAGAAATAAAGAACATATACATACAACAACACATTCATCATATAATTTGGTTGTATGGAAAGTTTTCACGAAATTAAGTTACAATAAAGTAGCCATGTCAAATATAATTAGATTTTGTAATAATTTCAATATTTTGATAAGGAACAAAAAATCATTGAAGTGTTATATTAATTTAAAATACTTATGAAATTTTTATTACAGTTTTGTGTGAATCTTAATTATGATTGAAACCACTTAATATGTAATTTGAAATAGTGAAGAAAAATGTTAAATACATTTTCACTCTTATAGAAGCAGTATATTCAATTCTGTTGTAAAAATATTAATAATCAAACTACCAAATGTCAGACATACAACGCACATGGAATTAAACAGGGGCAATACTTACAACATCAACACACCATCTTTGCTACAGACTTATAACATCTACACACCATCTTTGCTACTGAATTATAACATAATCATGTTATAGGAAACCATCACCTAACAACACATTATACAAGTTGAAAATCTTATCCCTATAAGTGCAGTCAAGTCTAATAAGTCATGTTGTGAACAGTAGGACACTCCATTCTCACCCGTTGCATGGTACCAGAGACGTAATACTTCTCACAGAGTTTAATATCTGCGTTGATCCAGTGAAGGCAGTGTGTACTGATACTGTGTGAAAATACCTTTGGATGTTTTGGTGGGGGACTGAAGAATGAAGGTAGAAATGTAATTTTTATTAATTTTTGTACTGGCGAAGGCATTAGCTGAAAGGTCTAAAAATTAACATGTTGACCTATAATTAAAGAATAACCATACTGTTTTACGTATACAAATTGTTTATATTGCAGAGATTAGCCAGTAGCATAAACATAAAGTCAAGATGGCAAATGCACATAGACCTGTGCATATTGGAGTAATGAATTAAAATAATTTTAGATTTTTTAAAAATATGCGCTTAAAGATGAAAACATTAGAGTCATAATTGGTAAGACAAATCTTAAAAATAAAATCCTCTGTGATTTGATCTTTCTCTCACTTGACATGCACAAAAAAAGCAATCTGAGGAAATGAAGCCTTCTAGGGTTGAAATAAGTTCTTTTAGAATGGATAAAATGTCATTTTAACATTGCATTTATATAATGAAAAACCAATTGTTTCCAGTCCTGACCTTGTTGGGTTTGTAGTTGTTGATGGTAGGTAAGAGTGACTGGGTTGTAGCTGCACCTTGCAGCTTGTTGAAGGATGTGGGGAAGCTTGTTGTATGAAATGTTGGGTTGAAGGTCGCTGGGTGCATGGGTACACGAGGCAGGAGTCCCGTGTGGTGAGGGTAATGCTGGGACTCAGTAATTCTCTTTATCTTCAGCTGCAGAATTAAAGAATTCAAATGATGAATCACAAAGGTGAATTTTTAAAAGCATGTAATGTGTTTAGTAGGGTTCATAGTAGAAATTGAGCTAAAACTCTATCAGTTGATACTAACAGAAACAGATATCATCACATAGAAAATTCGTTTTTTATATTGTGTGTCAATGGTACAGAACACAAATCAACTTCAACATTGCATGGTTCACTGATGGTGTGTTGTTTTTAGAATGGTCACACCAATAGTGCTGACTAGACCCTATCCATTTGATTACACAAACTATAGTATAGTGCAGTGGTCAGCAAACTCATTTGTCAAAAGAGCCAAAAATCAGCAGCAGGAGGATTAAAAAATTTTTGATAGAAAAATTTCTTTTCAAGAACCGACCACTGGTATAGGGTGACCCCAATTTTCAATGGCATACAGAAAATTTAAAAAATAATAATTTAAATGCTTTTAGACATGTAGGTTGTTGTAGCAATCCTACTTTGCAACAGTGTTGAAAACTCCTGCTATAGTACAGTATTGGTCTATATTGTTAAAGTAGTACAGTATTGTTCTATACTGTTAAAGTAGTACAGTATTGTTCTATACTGTTAAAGTAGTACAGTATTGTGCTATACTGTTAAAGTAGTACAGTATTGTGCTATACTGTTAAAGTAGTACAGTATTGGTCTATACTGTTAAAGTAGTACAGCATTGTGCTATACTGTCAAAGTAGTACAGTATTGGTCTATACTGTTAAAGTAGTACAGTATTGTGCTATACTGTTAAAGTAGTACAGTATTGTGCTATACTGTTAAAGTAGTACAGTATTGTGTTATACTGTTAAAGTAGTACAGAATTGTGCTATACTGTTAAAGTAGTACAGTATTGTGCTATACTGTTAAAGTAGTACAGTACTGGTCTATACTGTTAAAGTAGTACAGTATTGTGCTATACTGTTAAAGTAGTACAGTATTGTGCTATACTGTTAAAGTAGTGCAGTATTGTGCTATACTGTTAAAGTAGTACAGTATTGTGCTATACTGTTAAAGTAGTACAGTATTGTGCTATACTGTTAAAGTAGTACAGTATTGTTCTATACTGTTAAAGTAGAACAGTATTGTGCTATACTGTTAAAGTAGTACAGTATTGTGCAATGCTCATGTTTAGTTAAAGTGCGGTAAACAGTCTTAGCCCACATCAATAATTCCATTAGGACTCACCCTCCTCCTGTCTTTGAATGGATGAGTTGGGTGTGACTGAGCTTTGGGCAGGGTGGGGTACATGGTGATCTCTGTCATTCTGGTCTTCAGCGGGGAGGAGGGATCATCTTCATACTGGATGATCTTCTCTGAAATCTCATTGTCGTCTCTGACAGATGGAGGGGGAGGTGGCTCCCTGTCAAACTGGACAGGCTGACCGTTGCGCTGCTTGAGTTGCTGGGCTAACCTTTTCTCAACTTCTCTGGAAATTTGAACATTACACAAACCCATTTTCACTATTTAAATTCAGAAAACCACGGAAATTTTATCATTACAGCATTAAGCATTTCAAAATATGTATGCTATAAATTTGTTTGATAATATACAAATGCCTCTTAGGAACTTTAAAAAATAGTGCTTTAAAAAAATTAACATAGAGTAAAGTGAAAATGTTCTTAACTGACTTTTTTCATTTGCCTTATCCAAGGATAAAATGAACCGTCATATGTCACATTAGATTTCATGTCATCTGTCAAATTATATTTCATGTCACTTAGCACATTATATTTCATGTCACCTGTCACATTAGATTTCATGTTATCTGTCACACTAGATTTCATGTCATCTGTCACATTAGATTTCATGTTATCTGTCACATTAGATTTCATGTCTACTGTCACATAATATTTCATGCCATCTGTTACATTAGATTTCATGTCTACTGTCACATAATATTTCATGCCATCGGTTATATTAGATTTCATGTTGTCTGTCACATTAGATTTCATGTTGTCTGTCACATTATATTTCATGTCCTTTGTCACATTAGCTCTCATGTTTTACACCTATGAACTATATTAATATTTTAATATTCCACCCCTTTTACACCACAGATTTATTTCATAACATTTAAATTGAGACTAACACAAAAAGAAAATATTTTGCACCTGCAGTATTTTTAAGAAACTCATTTAGCACAGTTAGGAATCTTATTTTGGAAGCTATTGAACTCACCATTACACCATACTTTCAATCATACAGATTAATTATTCACCATTACACCATAGAATTTAATTTGTTAATTAATCCTATTGAGTGGTAAAAATTTTACTGTATTTAATAAGTGATAAACAAAAATGTGAATTTAAAATAAACGTTTTTCCACGCTCCCAAAACATTGATTATTATGCTCCCACTATTCACGTCATACGTGCTCCCACTATTCACCTCATACATGCTCCCACAATTCACCTCATATGTGCTCCCACTATTCACCTCATACGTGCTCCCACTATTCACCTCATATGTGCTCCCACTATTCACCTCATACATGCTCCCACTATTCACGTCAT